TGCGTTTTTGCTTCGCTTTATCAAGAAACAGTAGCAAACAAAGCATTTTAGTCAACGTGTACTTCTTGATATACTCCGCATATTCGTCAGATAGTGAATATGCACGTGAATATTTCTCTTCCAAAAGTTTGTCCCGAAACAACCGATTCAATATAAAGGTACTCAGTCCAATAATGTCGCTATTTGACCTCAAATGAATTTTTTCACCGTACACAACCTCTAAGCCTATACGCAGCCACATCGGATTAAAGCAAAGCAACAGTTCCAATATGTAGCGCTGCATCACTACATCAAGGTGTAAATTTCTATCGTTTCGTATACGTATAGCATTTTTATTTACATACACTGCCACTTTAGAACAAGGTTCACGAACTTCATCGCTTAGGTACAAGTAGACAGCAGCACGTCGAACAACCTCAAGTCGGTGTTGCACAAGATAATCCATAGACTGCTCTTCTTTGGTGGGTGCTAATGTTAGTTCCTTATGACGCACCTCATTAAAAAGTTTACCAACATCGATTTTAGCATCGCTATTGGCATCCATATCAGCCGGTATTGTAACAAGTGCATTTAACCACTTTTTAAAATCATGTTGATGCCTCTGAACGGCTGTTTCGTCTAAATACATTGTGCAAGCGAGAAAAGGGTCACAAGTTGTACTAGCAGCAAAAGGATCGGGATTGATGCAGAACTGTAGATATAACTCTGGATCATATAATTTTTCTGTTTCGCGTGATATGGCTGAAGGTTGAATATTTGGTGGCATTACTTTTTGTGGTGTGGCGGGTTTCATAATTCTTACTTTTTTCACCTGTGTGTGGGTCCAATTCTTCGAACGAGACAAATAAGGCACCAATGGTCGCTCAAAAGCAAATTCTTTTTCGACGCGTTGTCGCTTTGGAGGAGAAACTAGAATTAGGCTCATATTTTTATTAGGAGAACCTCTTACGTACGGAGCAGAAGTAAAAAAAGTTTTTGCTGTTGACTTTTCGCTTGAAGTTGTGGTCAACGATTCGTTGCTTTGTGCATCAGAGCTAGATAAGTTCTGGGAATTTCGTTTGTGACTATTTGATTTTGAGGGAGAATTTTCAATTAGTTTAGTTTTGGATGATTTTGGTGATACACCTCGTAAATCTCGCCATTTGCCAGAAACAGTGACTGGACTGCTCTTTCGCGATTTCAAACCAACTTCATTTAAATTAAAGCGACTTGATTGCGCTAAAATTTCACTTTGATTGAAAGCTAAATCTGCATGAGATATTAGACCGAAATCGGTAGTTTCTGTAACAGTTACTTCATTCCTATATTGTGGCGTCCCATTATTTACATTTTGTTCCTGAATAACGGACATCTTTATACCATCTTGTGATTGAACACGATTATAAAAATACCGATTTTGTTCGATGGAACGTATAGTCTCCATTTCATTAAGGTTCGGCATTGAACCTTGACTCGCAGAGTAGCGTTTATTTGGAGAGCGTAATGAAAGATCTTTCATTGATTCCGAATATTTCCTCAATGGCGTACCAACTAATTTTATATCTCGCATCAAATCTTCTTCTCCACGGGCAGGACTTGCTTCAGAAATTTTTTCATCCCTATTTTTTACGTATGTTTTTTCGGCTTCACCATTTCCGCAATTGATGCCGTCTTCTTCTTCTATCATTGCTAGTGGTCGAGACTTGGGTGTTGTGCTGATCGTACTTGTTTTATTAAGTGTCAAACCATAACTAACGGAGGCATCGAGAGCATCCGTTGACATATTAATATTTTCATTTTTAACTTCAAAAGTTTTATTTGTTAAAATTGCATTTCCTGGAATGTTTGGATCCACATGAAACTGAACTGTCATCCGAGTAGTATTTGTATCTTCAACCACATCAGTTGTGTCACTTGCCGACGCTAAACGCCGAGGCCGCAATGTTGATAAATTTACTTTCATAGTATCAATGCTTACTGGGGTAGGCCAATTAGCTAGATTATCCATATCGGGATTTCCTCCAACACCACTTTTAACAGCATCGCTGTTTATTGGTGTGAATTTGATATTATCGAACATTTCAATAACATTACTTGGGGTTAAAGGACTGACATTCTCTTTGTGAGTAATGAGTACTGGAGATTTCGTTGACGAAATGGAAGTTATAGTTGCATTCATAGTTTTGCTGCGTGCGTATATATTTTGTTCAGTCAGAGGCGATGTATGAGTAAAGTTAATAGTTATTTCATCAAAAGCTTCACGTTTCTGTTCTTTACGTAATTTGCTATTGCAATCTACCCATGCTGATCTGGGAGGGGCAGCACGTGTGTATGATGTGGATAGAGCTGTGCGGGGCTTAATGGGCTTTTGAGTAATCGTTGGACCTGATTTGCGTAATTGCGTATGTGTTGAATTTACTTTATGAGATTTTGAAGTTCCTGTGGGAGATTTTAGCCGCAGTGTTCTCACATAGCCGTTATTACCGGTGGAGATTGTTGGAAATTTACGCACAGTCTAAAAATAAATATTAACAAATTATTTTACTTGAAACATGTTTTTTTAAATTTTGTTTTAGCTTTTCTAAAAACAAATTTCTTTTATATGATAATCGTGCTATGTGAAAAAAAAATTTAAGAATATGTTGTTATTAAATAAAACAAAAGTTAGTTTTCTTTTTATTCAAAAACTATTATTTAAATCCAAACCAAAAATCGTGTTTTCTTAGCGACTACTAACGAATGACAACTAACATAAAATGTCCAATAAGTCCTGTTTACTGGATACAATTTAATAGATCAATTAAATATGGCTGTTTTAACAACTTTACGAAGGAAACATTGGTTAATGCTTGATGCATTTAAGAATCAACTTTTACATGAGAGCATACTATTAAAACAACCCCTTTTAGGTGCATATTCAACCACCTTTTTATATGAACATATCATATTCATATGTCTGGGTAAATATGTGTATATATTTTTCCTATTTTTAAGCGCCACAATTACATAAAAGTTTATTTTAACACGTACCTTAACAGGATTAGTTATGCGAGTTTTCATTATAACCATAACATCTTTACGGAAATTTCTATTATCGAGAAGTTGCAATATTTCTTTGCAGGCAACTTCCTCCAAAGGGCTCCACACCATCTCCATCTCGACAGTTTTCGAACGCGGAACCGTAGTTTTAGTCCAATTCATTGATATGTTATATTCAGCATCTATTGACCTAATGACTGTTACCTAAACAAATAATAAAAACATTGATTCAAATAAATGTGAATAAGATGTTTAGGTAAGTTTTAGAATCACATCCCCCGAATTCGGGGTTAAAATAGGTATGTACGGATAGAGGAGTTTGTCCATATTAAGAAAGTATATGTATATATATGTATATAGTTGGCATAGACTTACGGCATTTGCGATATTTTCATTCAAGTTCAAAAATTCAACAGTTTAAAGTGTGTGTTTCTCCGTTTTAAAATGGATTTCACAATTATATGTTTAACTTTTATATTCACTAACTCGTTTTTACACATTTATTTTATATTAAATTATACAAAAAGAACTTCAATTCAATATCTCAAAAACCACAAGTCAGCGGAACTATAAAAATATATGTATACATTTTCTTAATCTGGGGAACTTACTCTATCCGTGCGTACCCATATTTACCACGAATTCGGGAGATGCTATTCTAAATCCCAGCCATCCATTTGTATTTCTCGTCATAGTAAATTCTTTGGAAACGCAAATATTCATATATAATATTGTATTGTTTACCTCTATATCCTCTGTTGAAGGGTTAACAACGCGTAAAATACGACGCGCCGTTTTCCCAATGGGCACATCCTCGAATTGCACAATTGATTTGGCAGAGAATGGGGCCATTACAACATCAGTCGGCTCACGAGATTCCACGCGTTTTTTGCATTTCGGCCGTGTTGGAGTAACCACCACCTTTATAAAACAAATTAACAAATATTTAACAGATCGATTCGAATTTTTGGTCAAGATGTTGACGAACCTCAAATGCACTCATATTATTTTATTAACTTTTACTGGTATCAAGATATTTGTAAACTTTCCACTGAATTTTAACAAATTTAAAAGACACAAACATTAAAATATACAATTAACAATACTATATCCCAAACCAATACCAGACAAATCAGCTCAATTTACAACCGCCAAATTGAAAAATGGTTGAAGGGTTGCGCAGCTGGCATATCTCAGTGTTGTATTCGTGTCACACTTTAAAACTGTACAATCACAAATGTTTAAATTCCAGTGGCATGTCAATATCAAGGATATTAGATTTTAAATTTAGTATCATTTTTATCAAAGGAGAGATATCATTAAGAGCGTAAAAGTACTCTAAACTTCGCTCCTACAAACATTCTGTGTGAATAATATAATTTTTAAATATTATTTGAATAAACGTATATAACTAGTATATTGGTAGGCTCCAAAACTGTTGACTAACGCTATAACAAATATACATATTCACTATATTACTGAGCGGCTACACTTGATAGAGCCTGTTGTCTACTGTCAAACAACTACACATTATCGCGAGACGAAAGAAACATTTTAACTAATTTTTATTATTTTACTTTTTCTTCACCATATTTTCGCATTAACTAAAATAAATGAAGAAACCAAACAGGAACTTTCACAATTTTGACAAAAAAGTTTTTACATATAATTATTTTTGTAACTTCAGGTTTGTTTCACTGCTATTAGTTGTTAGCTATCAAGGAAAACATGAATGCTCTCACAACAAAATAACGAAAAAGTAAAGAAACGGAAAAATATGAAGAAAATAAAAATGTGCAGTTGCAAAAAAGAAATAAACCAGATGACATATGTGCATTTTGCATCGGATTTCATTGTAGTTAAACTAACATTTCTACCAGAGATAAAGAGATGCGCAACTCGTCTTTCACTGGAAATGAGAGCGCAACTGTCAAAGTCGAAATTGAAATGTATGTCATGAAATCTTTTCTGATACCATGCTTCCATGCACCATACTTCCAGGAAGTTAAATAATCGTGCAAATTAACTTTTATATCACCCGGAGAGTGTTTAAAAAAACCACAACTGCTATCATCCGAACTTCAAATCAAAAGAAGTGACTTTATTTCCAATTCATAGTATTTTTAGCATAAAATTATATTAATGTTAATTCTAATTTTAGGATAAACATTTCCTGATTCGATAATTTCGCAAAAAGAACTTATGATTTTTATTTGTTAATGCGTTTAATTGATTTTGCGAAATTGAATCTTGATTTACTTCGATTCAGTCAAAATTTAAGCTGTGGCTACTATTGACTATTTTACTTGCGGGCTGATCGATATCAGTATAAGGTATTCGATAAACGGAAGTTACAGAAAGATGTGAACACCTTTCCAATCCATTTTTACTTTAAATCACTATTATATATAAAGCTCAATACGCTTATTTATTAATATAAGTATAATTAAAAGTATAAATTAAAGTATATGTGAGCTCGAGTAAGTCGTGATATACATACATAAAAGGACGGAACAATTATATTCTGTATATGAAGGAAAACATAACGTGGACCGATTCCATCCACTATTAGTACTCATACACAGTAAGTTAATTGTAATATACCTATTTTATATAGTCAATACAAGCTTCCATAAACATACATATGTCATACTTAGGCATGCGGTAGGTGGGACTTAAATGACGAACGAAGACCGGGGATCGGATATTCTCATGTTAATTTTACATTAGCAACAATCTCAACTCACATAACTTTGAATTTCATACATCTTGAACTACTTTATAAGTTTCTCATCAAACGACATTTTACAAAAACAAAACTTAAGTACAAGTAGAAGTACTGAAGACAGTTTTAGTTTAGGTTTGATGGTTGATCCAAAGATCGCACTTGGACTACTGTCCTTTGTAATGCCATAAAAACAGAACACCTGTAGTTAGAACTTATAAATCAGCAAAACGCCTTGTGGCTAATAAAAATTTGCTCAGGCGTTTAATTCCTGAAGATAGTTAATCAGGAACAACTTGTAACTCTTCAACCAACAATTTAGCTTTATAAACGTTATTTACAGATGCAAATATAAATATAATTTAATTACCAAATTCAAAATATTTTTAGTAGTGAAATCTTCTGAGACTCTTATCTTAGTATTACATAGATTGATATGATGATGTCTATATATATATATATATTTAAGTGAATATAAATATACATAATTACTAAACTAAATTTATTGATTTTTAATTAACGTATAAATTAATCAGTAATTGTAACAAAGAAACAAATCATGCATATGCACTCTATAATCCCACATATTAGTCATCGAAATCGCCGCCTGTATCTGAGGCATAGTACACACTGCGCATGTAGCCAGGAAAAGGTGTAACTGCATCTAAATCGTCTATAAGATCCTCATCCGGGGGTTCCACGGCAACAAAAGAAACAGCGAAACCACGCAAAGAAGTACTGCCATCCGTTTGAAATCTCATAAGTAAGGTATCGGTATATGATGTTATTGGGGGTGGTTTCTGGAAAGGAAATAGAGAGCATACGCAAGAGAGAGTAAAAGTTAACAATTGTAAAAGGATGTACATTTGTATGCTTATATTAGTGTTCCTAATCGTAATTTAGTCTTACCCTATTGCCACAATAACGTCCATGATTGCTGTTCCTCATATACTTCTCTTCAAAGATTTCTTCTCTTATTTCCACCGCATCGTATTCGCATCGATCCGAATATTCGATTTCAAAGTGCAAAAACTTTATTTGAACACTACTCTCAGAATCAGCTTGTATACGCCAATTACAATACATGTGCCGATTGTAGACCCGACTTCCATAGCGTGGATGTGAATAAAAGACTTGCGTTTCATTTGTTGCTCGCAAGTAGCCACCGCATTCTAAAAGTGAAAATTAAAACTTAAAAATGATCAAAAGTATTACTATTTCTATATAACAACTGTCCGACATTTCACCGGAGATCGAACAAAAACTATATAAGTAATCTTAATGAAATGGCGACATTCACAGAACATCCCTTCCTACCTGTTGAATATGTCGCTCGAAATCCTTTACGCTGCAGTGACGCATCAGTCCAAAGGACCATAAACATTTCATTTGTGGATGCCACCACTGCATATGGCTCATGTCCTCCACAGTATATGCCTAATGTCGAGCTGTTCTCTGATTTACCGTCATATAAGGCGACATAATCGTAAAAGCATTCCTACACACGAGCATACAATCATTAGAGCAGAAAGCAAAATGAAAAAATAAAAAGTATTGCTCTTGAGAGGTAGGTAGATGGACTAACTAACTGTTTCTGTATTTCATTAGCTCCACTCACCTGATGATTTTCCATTTCGAATTCGTGAAATGTCAACTGCACTCGGTGGCCTAAAACGGTGCGGAAGTGCCAAAAGCAGTATGTGTTACGTGGATAATCGTTTGGGAAGTTGGGGCTGTAAATGGTTCCCTTGTGGCTGGTGACTTCAAATTTACATTTGGTCTCGGTGCAATTATGTTGGTTCTCGTGGACAGTGTATCCATTACGGCAGCTGCACTTGTATGAACCAAATGTATTAAGGCAATGATGTTGACAGCCTCCATTGTCAACGGTGCACTCGTCGAAGTCTGTTTAGTGAAAAACTTAAAGTTTAACCAAGAAAAAAATTGGTGGGTGTGGAGAAAATATTAAAATTTACATACCAATTATTATATTGGCCGTAAAGCCGGTCCGTTGAATGTTTTTGTCTGAATAGAATTCCAATCGCATTATATTATGTTCGGATTTCAAAACTGGAGGCAGCTGTTGACCGCAGTAAATACCGATTTTCTTTAGACGACTATCACGTAACTTAGAGTATGCCAATAAGTAATCGTAGTTACATTCAGTGTATTGATATTTCGTGCCTTCCAAATCGAAGTGTGTAAAATTAAGGAAGACTGCATGATTGGGTGGTGCTACCACCTCCCAAACACACTCTTTCGATATGGGATACACATCCGGATATGATGGTGAATGCAGTGAGCCATTGGGAGTAGAGGCATTGATAATGCCACCGCATGCATCTGGAATATAACGTCAATATTTTTTAAAATATTGCTGTACGCAACAAACAATTAGTAGTAAAAATATCAGCTTTGCATTGGGTTTTCCAATATGTGTACATAGACGATTTGCCAGATGCAGGTGCATAATCCAAAAGCAAACAAACCTTCGCAAGTTCTTCCATCGACTTGCAGCTCATAGCCAGCAAAGCAAGCACACTGATAGCTCCCCAAAGTATTGATGCATTCGTGTTGACAGCCATGGTTGGTAAATTTGCATTCATCCAACTCCTGTAGGAAGACTGCAGAGAAGCCAACTTTTTGGACCGAACCATCGGAAACAAATTTTACGTACATGTGGTTTGAATTGGACCTGTGAGGATAATAAAATTCATATTAAAGCCGGTAATGGTTAGGCCTAAGTAACAACACGGTCTACATTTATCACACATTTTGGCCGAAATTATTCACACATTATATACACTCAATTGTACTCACTTGATATTCGGTGGCAAAATATATCCACAGTAAATGCCAATTAATTGAGAACCAACGTCATTGCCATCGCGTATTTCCATATAATCGTAAGCACAGTTATCATGATTTTCCAATTCGAATGACTGAAATTTCAGCGCGACTTGGCGGTTCTCCGGCACTGATATACGCCAAATGCATTCTCGGTCCGCAAGATATTCCAGAGGGTAATTGGGGGAGTCGATACGCCTATTTTCGGTGAGAAAAATATCGCCACCACATGTAACTGAGTAAAAAAAATAAAACATTCATTAGTTATAAGTCTACATTCTAGAAATCTATAATATTGTCTAGGGAAACGTTTCATTTTAATGACGTAAGTACAAAAGCTTGGTCACAGATTTAATTTTTAAAAGATATGAATATATAATATGTATGTAAGTGCAATGTGAATAATTATAAGTATCCGGTCCATTGAACGTTTGTTTTTTTGTTTTGATCGAACGAGGCATCAAAGGGCCCAAAGGTGTTTTATTTGCAAAACTTCGTGAATAAAATGAGCTGCAAATAATGCAAACTAACTCACTCAATTTCATTTTTTCCATTTTCCTCATATTCCCGAACAGGGCGTATCATTTGAGCTGTACGGGTACGACATTTGACTGTTGTACTTGTATAAGCTGGGACAGACATTACTTTGCATCAAGGAAACGATGTTTTATTATATGAATCAATATGAAATTCAAAATTGATTGATTTATAAGTGTAAATTTTTAAAGACATAGGATGTTTGTAGGTGTGTAAATACGGATGAGACGTTACACGGGCACACTCAATCGAGCAGGCCAATATCTATGCGACATCTGTAGAATAGTACAAGAGTCAATTTCGGTGAACATACCGCTTCAGCTGAATTAGCGGAAAACATATATCTGATTTTCGATCCTTTTGCAATAGGAAAAAAGCATGATTATGACCTCTATAATTTGAACATGAAAATGCAATATATGCGAATAATACTTGGAGATATAGTTAAAGGGTGTATCACATTTAGGAAAATTCTCACCTAAACTCACTTGCTATGATACTAAAATTGTATAGGAAAATTTTTAATCAGGACTTACCCTCAAAATCAGCAGAAAATCCACGAAACCCTTTAATCGCATGGTGATTGACATAATTGATGAGCATTCGACTGGAGCTGCTCTTAACCGTTTCCTCCGTGACATTGCCGCATAGTCGCTTAATAACAGGAGATTTATACCAATAGCCGTCGCGTATTTCTAAATAATCCACAGAACAGTCAGTGGACTGAAGAAGATGCTACAACATAGCACAAATAGTATTATAAAATAAGTAAAGTACGTTTACACAAGTAGATATGTATGTACGCGCACAAAATTAACACCTAGGCTATTAAACCAGTTCTGAAGTCATTATTACTGATGCGATTGCTTACCACTTGGTGAATTTGCAAAATGATCCGCTCCCCATTTGTTGCTGTGATACGCCATTCGCATTTCTCAAGAGATTTGTCAAAATCACTGACCTCGTAATCACCACTGCCACTATCTTCAATCATATTACTGACCTGTATCGCCGAAAATGGTGAGTATTCATAATGTGGTGAGACTATCTCTCCAGAATTTTCTTGAAATGTTCGTCCACAACTGGTGCACTTATACAATCGATTCGCCTTAGTTATATCCCCTGGACTCAAATGTAATCTTTGACCGATCTCAATATGTGGGGATTTCGATAAGCCTATCGGCTGTATTGTTTCCAAATAAACATTTTTGGCAAAGGTATTTTTTGCGTAATGCATAATTGAATTATAGTCATATGGCAGACCCAGGGAGTCAACATCTTCCGGTGAAAGTACATCAAAATTATACTCCTGCCCCTTCATTATATTCTCCTTATTAATGGTTATATGCTTATCTCGGTCGGTGCGCGTGTGTTCGTGCCAAAAACCTATAACATGTCCCAATTCATGCACGACAATCCCAAATTTCTCACAGTTGCGACCGATCGAAATAGCCTGTCGTCCGGAACCACGCTTGCCCACGAACGAACAACAACCACAATTCTTAACCGTGAAATGTATGTAATTATGATGTATTTTCGGATCGCGTTCTACAAATTTAATGCATGTGGAATTTTCCCAATGGCGCATGGCTCTCATGAAGAGCGCTTTGTGCACCCCGCTGAATATCTCGTCGATGGTATATGGTATAACACCATAATCCCAGATGCGCTCCTTTTTAGCGGTAACTGCACGCCGTGTACGGGACTCTAAATTTAAAAATGGAGTATTTATGATGTGGTTGAATGAATCTGGATTTGGGTTATGCTTAGCATTAGATCTGTAGTGCCTGTGGAAAAATTAATATTGAGTCATTTGTTACAATCAATAATATAAGATTGAAAAGGCTTACAGAACTTGTTTACCTGCTTTTCGCTTCACTGGGAGATTGGAAAATACGTCGCTTGTGAAGCTTCTTTTGGTGCACCGGCATCCTTCTGCCTTTAAGCTGTTTAAATAGGCGCCTATATTAAATTTAAGTGACAAGTATATTAAATATGTATATATACATAAGTGTATATCCAGACATTTGCCACACCATAAAATTTTACATCTTCGCTAATTCACAAAACAAGCTAGAATACCAATAATATAAGCCCACACTTCCCTATTGTATCACCTAAAATTAATCGAGATATGTAAATATGAAGTTATATATCTCTCTATTATATATAAAAGTTTTCTGCTGCTGTCGAGAATCAACTAAAATAAGGGCGAGCTAGCTCGCGCTCGGCGGGGGGCGGACGTAGGTGAGCGAGCGTCCCGGAGCGCAGCGGAGGGCGCCTAGTATACCTATATACAAATGATGAGGATGAGGAGACGAGTTGAATTTCTTTTCGGTTAGTATATTATTCTATAACTGAGGAGCTGAATTGTGGTTCTTTAAATATACTTAGTGATGAGGGTTGAATTATGTTGCGTGGTATAAGTGGTTTATTAATTATGAGAATTATTGTGGGAAGAATGTTGAATTGATTAATTTTTTCAACTCCTAAAAATCAACGCCTAGTATACCTATATACAAATGATGAGGATGAGGAGACGAGTTGAATTGGGAGTGACTGTCAATATCTGATATCTGTCCGTCAGTGCAAACAATAACTGACTAAAAAGTAAGAAAGTTCTAAATTCAGGTGTAACCGAACATTTTATACTCTCTCAACTTGCAAGGTTCAAAGCCCGAGAAATTACTTCAGGTGTTGGCAAAATTTTATATTAAAGAAAGAATTGATCCGATCCCATCCCAAAGACATACTATTATCGAGAGTTTCATTTATTTATTTTATTATATGAATTTAAATTACATATCTGACACATGGACCGATATTTTCGGTTAAAAGTCAACTATAGGCACTGGCGGCCACATATTCAGTTTTAGTTCTATTTAGAGAATTTTTGGTCACAAGGTGGACACTTTAAACGCATTATTTACGCAAAGTCATTGTTGCTTGATTTGCATAGTAGAAAGTGAAAGAATCAGATAGAATTTAAAATGATGTTAAATGGGAAATAGGCGTGGTTGTAATCCGATTTCGCCCATTTTCGCACTATAACATAGAAATATGAGAAGAATTTTATGTACCGAATTTAGTTGAAATCGGTTAAGCAGATGCCAATTTAATGTTGTTCGCGTGTTTAGTACTTCATTTATAGCGCTTTTTGTAGTTTTTAACAGTCACGTTATATGAAGGGTGGGCGGTGTTGTCACCCGATTTCACCAATTTTCACACTGTCTACAGAGGTGCTAAAAACATTTGCACTCAATGAATTTTGTTATTTTAGCTTTAGCGGCTTAGGAGATATGCACATTAAATCTAATAGGGGGCGGGACCACGCCCACTTTAAAAAAGAATTGTAAACTGCAGATGCCCCTCACTAATGGGATCCTGTAAACCAAATAACATTCTTTAATCTTATTGTGGAGCTTAGTTATGGCAATTTATTGGTTTTTGATTTATGGCCTTTGTGGGCGTGGCAGTGGTCCAATTACGCCCATCTGCAATACCAATCGTCTTACGCTACCAAGAAATATGTGTACCCAGTTTCAAAAAGATATCTCAATTTCTACTCAAGTCACAGCTTGCACGGACGGACGGACGGACAGACAGACAGTCACACGGATTTCAACTAATCTCTTCATCCTGATCATTTATATATACATAATCCTATATCTAACTCGATTAGTTTTAGGTGATACAAACAACTGTTAGGTGAACAAAACTATTATACTTTGTAGAAACATGTTGCGAGAGTATATAAATTAAGATATATTGATGAATTTTTATATACGTGTTTCTTGGGACCCAAGCGGGCTTGGTATTTTAGATGGGCGGGATCGTCCACAAGGTGCCGTGAAGCGGAAACAGATAAAGACCCATAACGAAGCACTAAATTAAGATACAAAACTGTAATTTGGTACAGGCGATCATAGTAGCAAGGGACACATGTAGGCGTAGCCCCGCCTTTAAATGGTTTAACGTACATATGTTCTAAACCGCTGAAGATAACTCAACCGAACTTGCTGAAAAGAAGTCTTTTAGCACTTCTTCCTACACTGTAAAAATGGGTAAAATCAGATAATAACCACGCCCACTCCCCATATAACGCATACTTATGTTAAAAAGTACTAAAAGCGTGATAACTCACTGTATAAATGCGCAAAAACATAAAATTTCGCAACCAATGTCGTATGGAAGGGCTTTATGGGGGCACGAATAAAACTTGAACAATGGGCGTGACCCCGCTCAGCTTTTGGTGAAAGCCTCTATCTCAGGAACTACTTTCCAGATTTCACCTTACAGTATACAAATCGAACATCAATAAAGTTTTCAAAATAAAACTTTGCACAAATAGTGCCCTCAAAGTATTTCATTGTACGCCTAAAAATGTTCGAGATCGGACTATACATTTTCAAGGACCTTGACACCAAATGTGAGGACCCCAGTGCATATGGCAGATTTTTACCGCACAAATCGATCAATCTGTCCCTAATATAAATATTTTCGAACTTCCGGTTGACTTTATACCGCATCTATCGATCAATATGTAAGAATTCTTAATGAAATTCAGAAATTACCTCTTTCTGTGTATCTTCTTGCCTAAAATGTATGAAATGGGTGCAATACTTCTCCACATACCTAATAATCGAATTTTCAAACATCCGCTTGACTCAACTGTGAGGTTTCTTAATTTGGAAATTGTGAGAGTATAAAATATTCGGTTACACCCGAATTCAGCCCTTCCTTACTTGTCGTATGTAAAGTTACTTAAATACAGCAAAATAGTTTATAGAAAATGTACAAGTATTTTTGTTTAGTTATAAAAAGGGAAAGGCTTAAATTGAGAAGTTACTCCCACAAATAGCAAAACTAAGTATGTCATACGGAAAACGGAAAACTAGCTGCGATGAGATTACTCAGCCAGTAGGAATGTATGAGCCACCTCGAACAAGAGGCGCCAGCGCAAGTCAATTTGCTTTCTGTGATCATTTTGCGTATTGTTCTTAAAAACAGTCGCTAAACTCCACAAATTAATAAGAATTAAAAAAAAAACAGAAACTACAAGTTGTACATGATTTTCTTTATACATTTTGTGACATCTTGTCCGTTTGTCAGAGATAATTTGAACGAAATATTACCAAAATAGTGTATGTGTCCGGTTATGGGAATTGGATTTGTATAAAAATATTAATTAAAACGTTGTGTTTAAAAAGTTTGTTCGGTCATGCGAGATGACCGGTTATGTATCTCCCATATTATATTTTGCAAAAATGTATGCTACTTCTATGTATTACTGAAATACTGCAATAGTACTCCGATGATTTCCATGAAACGCTTCAACGCAAGTGGATGTTATTATACTTGTAAGCATTAACCAACACGTGCTGATTCTTGAGTGTTTTCTACAGGCTACCTGAATTTCTTATTTTGCTTGTCAATGTTGAAGGAATTTGCAATGAGCTTGGAGATGTGGCCGCGGCTATTTTAGAAAAATAGTTATTTATTTAAATTTCACTTTGCTTTGTCAAAATCAAGTGGCTGCAGCGTTAATCGAGGAAATTCTTTGGAAATTCCCAAATGTTCATAGGCGCTGGTATTTGAAAGGGCACAGATAAAAGAGGGAGCGAAAAAACTAAAAATGAAGGCGTGGATAACTTGTTTGAAGTAATGCGACAGTTAAAGTGTGTGTAGTTGCAAGAAGGATTTCTAGGTTATCTATTAGTTTTCTACCTGTTTGCTCTGTTACGCTGGACTGTGAGATTACTATACCGAAAGGATGCAGGTGCATCACATGTGTTTACGTCGACGTAGTGCTACAGGTAGGTAGATTAAATGAAAGTGATTGCGCATCGCAAAGTAGAAGAAGAAGACGGTCAGATTCATTTTACAGAAAGGGATAGCACTCTTCGATCAACAATATAATAAATATTGCTGTTAAATGCAGGCGCATTTAACGGAAGTGAAAAGTTATTAAAGTCTTGCCAGTTTTTTTTTTTTGATTTACGTATTTTTATATCGGAATGTTTGTATGGAAGGCACGTGACCATATTGCTACTAAGATACGCAACGGTCAAATCTCATTGAGTCTACTAAAGAACGCAGATGCGCCGAGAAGATAACATTAATGACTACAATCCAAAAAAAAAAATATATATGTATATATATTTAGTTGTGTGTAGACATACACATGCACGTAGTGTATGTGTGTTTTCATAAATTTTGGTTTCCTTTTGAACTCACCTTCGAAATGCCAAGCTCTGTAGCCGCTGGCGTGGGATGCCGCTTGTGTCGTCTCCCTTCATTGTGTTCTTTTGTTGGCGGCCTGCTTTAAGCTTTGCCAACGATACTCCCGGCGCTTCGGTAATAATGTTGCGTTCGTAGAAAAAATTTCCACCATCATCGGTGTTTATACTTTTTGTATTCGATTGTATTTTCGACAAAGCGCCGCGGTCGAAAAGGAAGGCCGGCCGATTTGCGTTGGCGCGACTCCAGACTTGTTTCGCCTCCTCGTCGCCGCCTGCTATGGCGGCTGACATCTCCGACTCAGCGGCGGCGATATCAAGCAAATGTTTTAGATGAGTCGGTTCAATGGCGCCGTGTTTGCCTTTGGTTTCTGGCGCCTAAAAATATTGGAATGTCGTGGAATGCCGTATGTAAGGTAAGGGCCGATTTCACATACGAATATGAGCTGTAATATGATGTCGGTAGAATATTTTACTTACCATTTGCGTATCGATTTCAATAAATTGTTCTGGTTGTTCTACTACGTCGAAATAGCCCTCTAATTCCACCTGCAATCCATCAACGAGGAGTAATTGGCGGGCAAGCGCACTTTTTTGTTGACGACTTAAATAGCGAGGATGATTAGGTTTGCGCTGATTTAAATGTGTATTTTTAGCGCTACTGGTCATTGCAGTTAGCATTAGCAAAAACCACAATAACAGATATTCTCGTACACACAACAAAACCATTTTGGCGGTTTTTAATTTTTGTACGTAAATTTTCCCACTGAACCACTTTAAATTTGTTTATCACTGTGATTGATCACTTTTCAAAATATACTCAATACATAATTTAGTCCACAAATTGATCAAGTACTCGTATTTATGCCCATTTACGCATGCGCAGGGGTTCGAATGTAATTGCGTCAAGTAACCGAGTACCGTACTGCACAACAAATAATGTCTCACTGAGCGCGTTTAGGGATCTGCGATCAATTTAACTGTGTGTGTATTCTCTGTATCACAGCTTAGATACACAGGCACATACAAAATCACACATTGATACTAAATATTCTGAAACGAAGTGAAGATCAAACAGCTAAAGGGAATGAGAGCTAGTGGAATTGGTTGCTAGCAACGCGTGGTATCAGTAGCAAATGCCTCAGGCGATTTTACTAACACTATATTTAATGCACACACACATATATACACATATACATACGCGTGTGCCTGAATCAGTTTTTAATGCTACACTGTGAGAAATATTTAACTCTATGGCGAGTAAAAATGGAAGTCCTTATGTACAAGTATTATCCTCTCTTAATACTTTTAGATAACCGAAACAAAATCTGGAATATTTTTTAAATCTGAAAAAATCTCAACTCATCAGTTCATTTGTCTCAATATATGCAAATATTCATAGAAATGAAACAAGTAAACCACTAATAATGCAAAACAAACTGGGTAAAGCTTTATGGCCAATTCACATAGAACTCTTTATTTGCTTTGCGTCAGACATTTGTTTTGACTGAAAAGTTTTATGTACGCTTTTGTATGAGTACATTCACATAAAAAGTTTTCGATGCGAAGTCAAGAAAAATGTTGGGCAACTCTCTCTTTTTACGCTTTGCCAAGCAACAGTTGTCATTTTTATTAGAGAGAAAAGGACGTGTGAAAAATTTCAGTTGACTTTGGTGGCAATATTGTGATAAGCATTTTTCTATTCATCTTTGCCCGTATTTGGTAGTTAAAACTAACGAAGTCTCTTCACACCTGCCCCTGGTACCCACGTACATGAATATAGAGATTTCAATTGTCAAAAATATAATAACGAGCAACACTTGCACAATTTCGTAAAATTTAACGATTGTTGGTAACATCAGAATGACCAGACGAAGCAAAATCAGACCCTTATCACGCCCACTAAATACCGTTAATAGGGAACTAACTAAGTAAAACACAAATGAAGCTACAAACCTTTTGAAGAGGGACCGTTTGAAAATTTTTTTAATATATATTGTTCGACGAAATCTTGAATGGAATAGCATTAAATTTTGTATTTTACTAGTTTTATTGTTATATTTTACTTCGCATCAGCTTAAATTATATTAAAACCAAATCTTCAAATGAGGTTTATATCACATCTAATAAACTAATGAACTGAAGAGGCTAAATTTTGTTTATTGAGTTGATGTGGAAAACGTCAGCCGCAGGATCGGAATTGATGATAATAGGGACATGATAGGTCCGGAAATATGTAATTTCACCTAAAGGTGGGCGGTACCATGCTCATCATCCAATTTTAACATCGGCTTCTATTTAACCCTCTTGCCGGATTATTTATATATAGCCAATTTTTTTAGGATGCAAAAAACCGTTAGGGGAACAAAACTATTATACTCTATAGCAACATGTTGCAAGAGTATAAAAACAAAATTCTTCTTGTTCTAGTTTCTATGTATATATTTGGTAAAGTCTAAATATTTCGCGCAACCAATTTGATTGCAAGTTATACTATTTAACACAAATAAGTTTCCGGGAGAGGTTTTATACCTCCATATACCATATATATATACTGTATATGTATACATAAGATTTCGACATTATTGTATTTTTTGTATAAATATTATATTTCATTCCATGAACAATATAAAGTAGATATGATTGGTTATATAATATTTCGATAACATCTACAAAGAACGAGGAAAAGATATACATAATTTAGGATCAATTGTATGCTATTTATAAATGCAATTTTCTTAGATAATCCTACATAACTCGTTTATATGACAATACCATGTATTCTTGTAAAAGTTGCCGACAAATTGTAGATATACTTTCTATTTCTAAAATATACTTTTTATAAATATGTTCCACTTGTATATATTCGGGCATTCTAAATACTTATTAAGAATATGTTTATACTTAAAGTAAAGTTACATTGCAAGTATTTGCAACGTAATTACATCCCTCTACAATTCACACTTTTTAAATTCACTTACATATATTTCTAACTTGTTCAATCCATTTGAAATTTTCTTTTCAAATTTTCAAAATAACCAATTTAGATAGTTTTGTTTGATTTTAACATACTTTCAGTTTCACTAATTTTAAATTTTTGATTTAAATTTAATTAAGAAAATTTTACACTTAAATATTTATTTTTTTCTAATAAAGTCTAAAAATATTCTTATTTTTGGTTCTTTATTCGTGATATTTTTTTTACTTGATGATGAGATTTACCTTTGATATGCTTTGGAAGATGAAAAGTCTACAATTTTTTTTATACGAGTATTTTTCGCTATTGTCATTATTTTCAATCATGCATGTTTCCACATAATATTTTTATTGCGTCTACCTTTTATCCTACCCAGTTTTAATATATTTTTCTTATTCTTTAGTAGACTCCTCGCCTGTTTTGGCCAATCTCAAGGAGTTACATAGAATATGGGAGGATGCCACCGACTCGGATCGGCCGCGTTTTAGAAATTATTGTAATATCGACCCCTGGGGCGTGCAATCAACTGATTCTCGCTGAAGTCACCATACTCATCCGAATCTTCATAGATACTCTTCAATGAACCCGGGAAAGGAGTGGCACGTTCTGCGCTATACGAATTGAAATCTTCATCACTATTCTCGAATGGATCAACGGCTACATAGGAGGCGGAGAAACCCTTCATTGTGACTGTGTCATCCGTTTTAAAGCGTACCAGTAGCGAATCCGTCAGTGAAATTATGTCTTGTGGAAGCTGCAAAATATATTTTCATGTTCATATGAAGTGTTATGGAAGAACAAATAAAAAGGCGATGCACTCGTAACATACCGTATTGCCGCAATATTGTCCATACATAGGGCCACTGGTGTCCTCCATACCCGAATACACCTGCACATAATCGTAAGTGCAGTTTTCGCTGGCTTCAATGTCAAATGTAAGGAAGAGTAGCTGTACATTGCTGCTGGCCGGAGCTTGAATCGTCCACTCGCAATCCATATTCTCGTTATAGTTGCGGTTGCCGAAGAGAGCATGCGAGTAGAATTGCTGTATTTGATTTGTGGCACGCAAGTAACCGCCACAAGCTACATCATACCATTAAAATAAGAGGTAGAAATTGTAGATAAATTAAAAAAAATACTAATATACAGTAAAATCCGCTTAAATGCCTCACGAAAAATACCGGCTTTTTGAGGTACTTTGGCGGACTGGGTACTTAATGGAGGCGATGCGAGCACTAAGCCAAACATTTTAGTTATTTAAGCGGGATTAACTGTATTCAGTTTTACGTATCGCTCTTTGGCTAAGACTCACATGTTGAGTGTATCGCCGTAAATCCTGCCATTTGTTTATTTTTATCCGTTTTGAATATCATATAAAGCTGATTTGTTGTAGACGAGATTGGATAAGGTATTTTGTCGCCACAAAAGTGGCCCAACAGAGAACTGCTCTCTGATTCACCATCGTACACTGCGACATTGTCGTAGGCGCATTCCTGTGGACGTTTGGTGAAGACTTTAATTTACTATAATACTCAATCTACATGCAACATTCGTATGCACAAAGTGGAAATATCCACATGCATTGTTGTTGTTCAAGTAATTATGTTAATGAAATACAAACTTTTCGCTCACCTGATGCGATTCCACATTAAATTCATTGAATATTAACTTGATACGATGGCCTGGCGTCGTTGAAAAATGCCATACGCAATCAGCATTCGGCGGGTAGAGATCCGGGAAATTCGGACTGTAAATGGTGCCAAAGGGAGCGGATATTTCGTGCTTACATTCACCCTCCTTGCAGTCGTGTCCATTCTCATGCAGCGAATAGCCATTGTGACAGAAGCACATGTAAGAGCCGATAGTATTGCGACACTCATGCTGACAGCCGCCATTGTTGGTAGAACACTCGTCGATGTCAGTAAAAAACACCGCAGCGAATCCCGTGCCTTGTATAGTCTTATCTGAATGGAATTCAATACGCAGCGCATTGCCCTCGGATGTGGCGGTGGGTGGGATGGCAGTGCCACAATATGTACCTATGCGCTTTAATCGATTCTCGCTCAGTTTTGAATACACAGTCACCGAGTCATATCCACAATCAATTTGCTGTTGGGTATTGCCCTCGAGATCGAAATGTGTGAAGTTCAATGATATCTTGTGTTTCGGTGGAGCTATTATTTCCCAAATGCATTCCTTCAACACCGGGTATGTGTCTGGGAAGGATGGTGAACTGATTGTACCATTCGGGTATTCGATCACACCACCGCATGCATCTACAATTAATGCAATACTAGTAGTCAATGAAGTATTAATAATTAAGAAAGGTGCTAGTCATCATAGCAGTAGCTAAAAAACACCATTTTTGCATATGTTCGTGTATATCGTGTGTATTTATTGTATTATATATATGTGAGTATACTTTTATATAGTTGGATGAGTAGTACCTTCACAATGTTTCTTATCACTATGCAGCTCATAGCCAATATGACAGCTACACTCGTAACCGCCTAGGGTATTAATGCAGTCATGTTCGCAGCCATGATTCTGGGTCTCGCATTCATCAACTTCTTTCATGAAAATAGCTGAGAAGCCGGCTTTTTGTACAGATGAGTCTGATAGGAACTTCACGTACATAGCATTGCCACTTGACCTACAAAGCGACAAGAAATATGATTAAGAATAATGTTGAACTTTCAGTTTCACTTTAAATTTCATCTTCAATTTCGACAACAAATATCCCTTATATGCGCGACCCAAGTAAAGTTTAGCTGAACGATTCGTACTGCGGTAGAAATTATTTTATCTAGACTGTTTCGCTTAAGTCTGTGTTCTATTGATACGCAGTTATGTTACATACATACTTACCTACATTCTTGGATACTTACTTCATGTTTGGTGGAGGTTTGTAGCCGCAAAAGACGCCAATCAGTTGCGCGTCCTCCGTTGCACCGTCTCGCACCTCGACGTAATCGTATACACAACTATCATGATTCTCCACTTCGAACGATTGGAATTTAAGTGCCACTTGATAACCTCTCGGGACAGTGATTTTCCACACACATTCTTTGCTTGGCAGGTAATCCAATGGATAGTTGGGCGATTCTAGGCGTCCCTCGGAATCGTCAACAGACATTTCACCACCACAGATTACTGTAAATACAAGAATATAAAAGCATATTGAGATATGCATACTACATGTGAGGTGTTAATTTGTCTTGGTGGCTTTTTATAGAGAACGGTTAATAGCGGTAAAAATATAAACTTTGTGTTTGCATTTAAATCTTGCAATATTGGAATTCACACCAAAAATGTTATATGCCATAGCGTAATAATTAATTTAAAAATTTCAATAAGATCAGTTGATTAAATCGCCTGTCCGCACATTTATTAGATTGTGTGAAAACTTATTAAGCTATTACATAGTTTCTATCGCGGGCTTTGAAAGCGGGGACTGAATCAAGAAATTCCGTAACGGAAATAAACCTAACACTATCACAAAGTATGCGCGAAATGTTTGCATACTTTTAGGCATGTTTTCGCATATCTCAAGCGGAACAAATCAATTGAAGAGCAGGGTGTTTCAAAAATAATAATATTTAAGATAAATTTTGTTTAATGGCAAATACAAATGTAGAATTTAATAAAAATTTAATTAATAAAAAATAAATTATTCAATATTCGGAGTCATAATATTAGTAACAATATTATTATTTTGGTAAATAGCTACCCCACCTTTTGAAACAGTATATCGTTTGACTTGAACAATACAATTAAAGTTAGGTATTTCAACCTGATTATCAAAGGTAATAAATTTCCACTTATCTTGGCTGTCCATTTCTACATCCAATCGCTGATAAATTATCAGAGCGGTTGACAAATTTTCTTTCGGAAAAATTGAATTTGAAAATGAATAATGATTCACAAGAATCCAAAACAAACTATGGGGCCACCATTGACGCGGTATTTTCCAGATATTGAGAGAATATCTCAAACTTATTTTTCTTATTTCAGTTACCATAAACCTATAGTTTCAATGATAAAAATTCCTGAATAACCTACATATATTGTAAGATAATAAAAATATTTTAGACAATATTAACTTCTCATTTATTCAATAAAAGAAACAAATTTTTTTTTCTTATCGATCACCACGCTCAAAAAGTGTAACTTGAATTAATATCAAAGAAAAAAAATGCTGCATAAAAAATAAATAATTGATTATAATTGCATAAGTTGTTAAAAAAATGATATGCAATAGCTTTACCGCGGCAGTAACCGAGTGCCACACGTACTTTTTTATAATCACTATTTCCTATTGATAAGTGTTAATTTCTCTTTAAAACTCTGAATACTTACCATCAAATTCAGCCTTGAAACCGCGATAGCCCTCCATTCGATGAGTATTAACATATGTCAGGAGCATACGACTCGACTCCGTTTTTAGAATCTCTGCATTTACTTTACCACAGAAACGTTTAATCAGAGGGGATTTGATGTAATAGCCATCACGTACTTCCAAGTAATCGGTTTGACAATTGTTTGATTTAAAAATGTTCTGAAAAGACACAAAAATTTAAAGCAATTTTGTACAAGTAAAGTATTTCATTAAATGACTACAGTCTGGATGATTAAAGAAGATTTGGAAACTTTAGATGCTCACGCAATTTTCATGAATAAAAGGGAAATATTTCGATACCTCTGAAAATGTTTATTATAAAAACAAGAAAAAAGTTAACTTCGGTTCTCTGAGGGACTAGTTCGCGTATATACACACAGACAGACAGAAGGACATGGCTAAATCGACTTTTTATATATATGTCTCCGACGTTTCCTTCTGGGAGTTACAAACTTCGTTGTGAAATTTAATGCGTGTTTCACATTTATTCGGTGAGTTATAGCTTTTTTAGTAGTTTTCAACATAACCGTTATATGGGGAGTGAGCGTAGCTATTTTCTTATATGAAGAAGTTATAAAATCACAACTTCTCAGCAAGTTAGGTTGATATATCTTAAGCGGTTTGGAAGATATGTACACTAAACCATTTTAGGGCGCGGCCAGAACCAGTTTAGAAAACAAATTTAAGCCAACAGGTCCATTAGTTTTAGGTGATACATACCACCGTTGTGCAAACATGTTGTGAGAGTATGAAAATAGGTTTATTATTTACCTACAGCTATGTTAATAAGTTGCGGGCTATTAACAAACCGTTTAGTAAGTAATAGTTGTAGGTGGACCTACCATATTCTCCAATTTCAATACCACACGTTCGCCATGTGTAGCTGTGATACGCCATTCACAGAGCTCGGTCTCGTTCGTTAATGCGCCAGCTGTATAATACGACGGACTGGCGAATATACCCGTATTTTCTTGAAATGTACGACCACACTTGGGACACTTGTAGAGTAAATTTGCTTGTGCAATGTCACCAGCACTCAAGCGTAAACGTTGACCGATTTCGGGACGCTTCTTACCCTTTACTTCAATGGGTAGTATCGTATCTAGATAGGTACCTTTGGAGAACGTATTCCGCGCATAGTGCATGATGGAGTCGTAGTCGTATGGTAGCCCCAGCGAGTCAACCTCCTCTGGCGTCAGTTTGTTAAAGTTATAGTCTTGGCCCTTCATAATGTTGTTGTGCTCAATGACGACGTGCTTTTCGCGGTCGGGCCGTGTGTGCTCATGCCAAAAGCCAACGACATGGCCCAGTTCGTGCACTACAATGCCGAATTTGTCGCAATTGCGACCGATTGATATAGCTTGCGCTCCATTGCCGCGTTTACCAACAAATGAACAGCACCTGTGGAAAATTTGTAAATAATGA